AGATCCTCTTCGGCAGATGCCCAAGTCCAGACTAAATAATTAACAGCATGCAAACTTCAATGTTAGCTTGTTATAGCTATCACCTTTTGTCTGTTTCCTCTAGCTATTCCAGGCTTGCCAGAAGAGAGAGAGGTGGCAATGGATATGATTTAATTAGGCCACAACTGTATTCTCATAAAATATTTGGGCGTACTTGGCAATAAATCCAGATCATCATCGTTGCTTAATCATTTCCACGTAATCCTCATCCTGGTCCCAGCCATCCCATAGCTGGGACCTTGCCACCCTTTGCTTGTAGGAGGTAAAAGGGAGCTATGAAATGAGGGCATTGGCTCCCCACTCTACCATACACAGGAGCCCTAACCCCACTTTCTCAGGTCTCTTTAGGAATGCCTTTTGCCAGTGCTTTTCCAATCCATGGTGTTTGACAATCGTATCCCTTCTATAACGAGACCCTGCACTGGACATCTGCTAAGAGTCTTATATGCTAAGTTGTGATGTTATAACTAAGGCTACAATTTAGTCATGGGTATTTTTAATACAAGTCATGGACAGGTCATGGGCAATAAACAAAAAGTCATGACCTGTGACCTGTCCATGACTTGTACTATAAATACCCCTGACTAAATCTTAGCTGTGGGGCCACTGGTCTTGGGCATGGCCGGCTCCAGGCACCAGCTTACCAAGCAGGTGCTTGGGGCGGCCACTTCGGAGAGGGGCGGCATGTCCAGCTGTTCGGTAGCAGTTCGGCAGACGGTCCCTCACTCCTGCTTGGAGCGAAGGACCTCCCGCTGAATTGCCGCCACAGATCGCGATCGCGGCTTTTTGTTTGTTTGTTTGTTTGGCTGCTTGGGGCGGCCAAAACCCTGGAGCCGGCCCTGGTCTTGGGGGCGGGGGGATGACCCGGGTCCAGTGGCACCAGCTGCTGGGGGTCACCCCATTCCTACCCCTGTTCCAGCCGCCCCTGGAGCAGGGGTAGGAATGGGGTGACCCCCAGGACTGCAGCCAGGGAGCAGCAGCTGGCTCTGGGGCAGCTTCAGCAGCGGCTGGTGTGGCTGGCTGCAGAACCACTCCAGCAGCAGCAGGTGTGTCTGTCCCTGGGGCAGCTGGGGCCAGCCACACTGACCACTGCAGAAGTCATGGAGGTCAAGGGAAGTCATGGAAACCATGACTTCCGCAACCTCCAGGACAGACACTGAGACCTAATTATAACCTAACCCTCGTGCCCTTCCCCACTGGTTTCCAGACCTGTTGTGGGGAAGATGAAAAAACCCACCCTGCCTTGGCCAATCTTTGCTTGCCATCCCCCAAGGGGAAAAAATTGGTGACTAGCATAATGCCCCCAGCAGGTCATGAGGATACCCAGTATTTTTGCAAATGTTATGGAAAGGTGGGTGCAGTTCTCAAGTTCTACTTCTGGTCTGGAAAAGAAAGATGTTTGTTTGTTTGTTTTGTTTCTGCTGACAGCAATGTAAATCAAAGAGGAAGCAACCACTCCTTGACCACATGGCATGAAGAGATTTAATCCAGGACATGCAGTTTAGCATAAAAGATCCAATTTACTGCCTGGATGAATCAATACTATGCATATTATGTGAAATATTGGACGCTCAAAAATAGTTACACAAAAGTAAACTCTCCCTTTTAAAAAAAGAACAGGAGTACTTGTGGCACCTTAGAGACTGACAAATTTATTAGAGCATAAGCTTTCGTGGACTACAGCCCACTTCTTCAGATGCATACCTTTTAAAAGACATAAATCCCATTATGTGCAATTAATATGTACGTAAAATATTTGGGGTGAATTACATAGCAAATCACTTATTATGTGGAACATAATACAGTAATTGTCAATCTATTAAGATCAATATACTGCAACAAATATTTGGGGGATATATGTTAGATCTGAGTCACATCCCCTAAATACGACTAACCTGCCCTTACACTGGGATTAGGCTGTCTTTACTAGTTTATGTAGCTAAAGTATTTATAGTACTGAGTGCCAGATTAACCAGCCTTAAAAATGCACAAGTGAATCATATAGGGATATTTCATCATTCCCTTCTATGGATGAAAAATAAAGCAAGCAGCTCCTGGAAGAAAAATGGGATAGAAACAAACAAAATCCCACTTCATGTAGAATAATACAGTACTCAAGCATGTTCCAGAAAGTCCATGGAGAATATATGAAGGCCATGAAAGAAAGAAGGGATGTGTGGAAATCCTTTTAGCAAGCGTCTCTCTAAAGATACTTAGGGGGCTAATGCCAATGTGTTCAAACTCGGGCGTACCCTAAGGCATGCCTAAATTGTGTGCCTAAAGCCATGTTTAGGCACCTACATAAGTAGTTTGTTTTTTCAAAGTTACTGAACTCTGCCAATCTATTTGGCATCAATGGGAATTGTTAGTGTTTGGCACCTCAGGCCACTTTTAATTAGCACCATAATCCATACGTATGTACTTAACTTTAGGCACCCACATTTGAAAATTTCTTCAAGAATTAATATATTGGAAGGTTAGGTCCCAACTTATTAGGACATGGGTAACTATGCAAATAAGATTTTATAAAACCAGCATGGGAGGGGATATGATAATATTGATACAAAGTCTCTGATCATGCATAGATGTATACATAAGCCCAGTCTCATGTGTAAGAAACGTTGCTAGAGCAACAGCTTCACTAGACTCACAGGACAGTCCTTCCTAGTGTTTTGGAAAATAAGCATGCGTTGCTCAGATAGGCCACATCCCTTTAAGTTCTGTCTGTGGTTTGTTAATGCACCTGCAGTCTCTAACTTCAGAAGTATCCATTTAGCTCAGGGAAGAGACATTACATTCTGAAACTTGGTTTCTATATTTTTTTCCCCTGGAAAAAATACAAGTTAGAAAAATTTGTCTTACAAGAAGAGCAGTTCTTTTCTGTATGAGGTCCCAAGAGATTATGCAAGTTTTGAATACTCCAGATGCAATGCATACTGTCATCATGATGATGTTGTAATCTGTTTTCTTCAGTTGTTAAAATATGTTTTTAGATGATCTTAAACAATTTTATACACATTGTGACATTATTAATTATTATTATATTTATCATTTATTATTAGGGAAGTGCTTAGCCCACAAAGTTAGAACTCAGATCTGAATTTACAGAGAGTTTAGGGTGTTCAGATAAGGGTTTTTTTTATTCATTCCAATCTATTATTATTAATACTTACTATTTGTTAATTCTGTATTTGCATGTGTATGTGTTTAAATAAGAGGTTTAATTTGCCAGTTAGCATTTGCTCTAGCACCAGTGAACAAAACTACATCATCTTTTGTCCTCTCCTTATAAAAAGTAAAGGTTTATATTCCAAGGAATATAGATGCACAAAAAGATTAGACAAACAGATGGTTTTCTTTAGGTTACAATTAGGAATAAGTTATGTGATAATAGACATGGTACTTGTATTTGTTATGAAAAAGTTTCTCAGATGTTATCAGACCTTTAGGATATTACTGCCTTAATAATTACAAAGCAGTGTCCTGGAATGATGAGTAGTTTTGCGATGTGGTAGTAATAAAAATACAAGGCCAAATCTTCAGCAGGTGCAAATAAGCATAGTTTAATTGAAGTCAATGGTGTTAGGCTGATCCATGCCAGCTGAGTATCTGGCCCAGTGTATTTTAATAAAAAAGAAATGCTATAAAAATCACCAGAAATAACAGTGATAGAAGCAGGACCACACATCTGACACCAGATCGCTTCTCATTCTTTTAAAAGATAGTTACATATGCAAAAGTGACCGATTTTTCTGAAGATCGGAAAGACATTTTCAGTGTAGTCTACTGCACGGTAAATAGTTAATATGGCTCAGTAATAAGGAACATAGGTCTTAATGTTAGTTTAAAAAAAATAGACCTGCTCATGGAGCAGCATGAGTAAAGGTTGCAGAATTTGACCTCAGAGTTTATCTGCTTCAGGAAGTGAGATTCAACAAATTAGGATTTTCTTCTCTTCGTTTCTGATAAATTACTAGATTAGCACGTTCATCCACTTTCTGGACAGTACTGTAGACATTTTTTATTTAACACTTTCATCCTTTGAAGTAACAGTAAAGCATAAGGCTTAACTGAGATCTGTGCTTAGTGAATGCAACTTTATAGTATTCTTTATTATGATTCCTGGCACTTATCTGTGGCAGATATTTTTTAAAGTGCCTTAAATTGTATTTAGCTGCGATCCAACACTTTAAAATACCACAATATTTCTTATTTTTCTGTAACTAAATTTGTATCCTGTATTTCTATCCAATGTCAAAGCTTTAAAGCAATGGATGAGTTTTGGCAAGTACTAAAAGTTTTATAGCTCTAAATGCAACATTTTCTCTTACAAACATTGTATCAGCACTTTTTGTGGCAATTTCACTAAAGTTGGGCAATTTCACTAAAGGCCTATTGTTTTGGAACATGGGGAAGTCTTACTCTTTTAGGAATGTAATATGAAATGAATTCATATTCACTCTTGGCCTTTTTTTTTAATATTATGTGAAACTAAAAAGGTCCTGCAAATACTACCAAAAAAAAAAACCAACACTTTTGAAAGCCTAACATCCATCACAACTGAGAATTGTCTGGTGGGGTTTCAGTTAGAGATGTAACTAAAGTAATGGAGCCGATAGCATCTAACTCATTTGACTTAACACTACATTGTTAAAGTATACAAGAAACCCAGATGAAAGACCAGTGTTTTATCATAGTATTCAAGGTTGGCTACATGATCTCTGAATTTCTCCAGGACCCTTTAATGTGAAAATCTGGTGGCTGTTCTGCACATCTGGCAAGTATCTGCCACAAGAAGAAATGGGAGATCCTGCTTTCACATAGTGAGAATAAGAGTGTTTCCCTCATGAGTATGTTTTGTCACTTTTTTTTACCCTGCCAAGATCTTAAACCATTCTCTTAATTACTTCCTCTCATTTGTTTTCTTTAATTACAAAAGGAATCTTGTTTTTTCTTTTTAGTGCTACAGGCCTGTCTGCAATTGATTGCTGATAGCAAAAGTAACATCCAACAAAAAGGTAACAGTGCCTTCCACATATTCACATATTTTTCTACTCAAGCTCCAGGCTAACTAACAAACAAGCAGTATTCTGATTAATATAATGCCAGTTAGAAAAAATAATGAAAATTTTGGATCTGGATAAGTCTTGCAAATCTCCTCCCGATTTAAATTGGAAAATCCCCCTCTCTAAACTTTGCTATTGTTCAAGAGGTCAGCATTGTTGATTTTTAACCAAAGGAAACTAGAAGGAACTAACTAATTTTGATTTTTTTCTTACCAGAAATTATTTTCATTCTCTCTCTTTTAGATGACTCAAGCATTGTTCCATGGCTTCTTAGCTTTAAAAGAGGAACAGCTCTGGAAGAGCAAGGAAATAAAATATTGGTCAAAGAAGCTGGTTACTTTTTCATATATGGTCAGGTAGGAATATTCATTTCACTTCAATATTGGACTTACACTGTGAAGCTGTTAAGCACCCTATGTCTGAAGTTTGTTTCTTATTCTTCAGGTTTTATATACAGATACAACATTTGCTATGGGACATCTAATACAAAGGAAAAAGGCTCATGTATTTGGTGATGATCTCAGTTTGGTGACATTATTTCGTTGTATCCAAAACATGCCTCATTCTTATCCTAATAATTCTTGCTATACCGCTGGTAAATATCTGAGTTTTTACCCTTCTTATTTATAGTAAAGCTGTGCCAAATATAATTTGCGGTGATACATGATTACATATAGTGAAAATGTAATGGATTCAGAAATCACTTTGCCAGTAAAAGTATGGCATACTTTGGTGTGTGCTCAATTAACATCTATTTTTCTTATGATTGAAATTCCATAGAGAGTTGAATTTTCATACTTAGATGCTCAAATCTGTATTTACTGTAGATACTACAATAGCCATTTTAGGCATCTGTTCTGCTTTAGTCAATCAAATATGGATTTAAGCATCTTAAGGATGAAGCAGTCAGTATCAGCCTAACTCTCTGCTCCTAATAAAGATGACTGGAGTCTCATCATTGATTTAAGTGCAAACAGAGTTAGGCCAATGCAGTGTGTGTTTGATAGTCCCATCAGAAACTTTGCATGCAAGTAAATCAAGATATGCACACCAATACAAAAATAATATTTTTATATTAGCAGAGTTCCAGCAGTCTGCAGTAAACGTGTGTTCTATTAACCCCTGTGCAAGTTTTAAAGAACCATTGTTACAACCTGTCAGACTATATTTTACCAAACCTCTTAATTGCCTTTACTTTTCTAGACTTCTTTTCCCATCATTGTTGTTTAGCAAGCTCTCTCTATGAATGTTTTCTTCTGTGTATTTACCTTGTACCCAAGTGCCTGATATATTAATTGATGCCAGAGTTCATTGTATATAGCATCACAACTCACCACAATAAAAGCTCTTCTTAGACATGGACACCGGATTGTGCCATCGCTAAATGATGCATGTAGCAGGGAGCTAATTAGAAAGGAAAAATTCTTTGTATATAAATCGTTGTAATCACCAATTAGAGGACAAGAAATACAAGGCAATTTATTATGCTTATGGTAACTTTGCTGAAGTGTGGCAGTAGTTCTTTAAGAACAGAATGTAATCATTAGGGAATGACATTCAAATGTAAGGTCAAAATCCTAGGTGAATTTAAATGTGAGTTTTGCCTGAGTATAGATTGCAAGATTGGGCCTAATGATATACATTTTTTTATTGCAAAAAGTGTGTTTAGGTAATACAAAATACACTCTCTGAATGCAATATATTAGGTATTTTACATACGGTAGTATTCTATTTAAAGATATTCCAAATTCTTTTCCAGGAATTGCAAAATTAGAAGAAGGGGATGAACTTCAACTTACAATACCACGGAGAAGGGCCAAAATATCATTGGATGGAGATGGTACTTTTTTTGGTGCAGTTCGACTCCTGTGATACTCTACAGTTTTGCATCATGCTTATCTCTGTTCTCTTTTTTGTTTTTATGTAATTGAAAAAAATGGAGATACAGTTAAGCGGCCAATTCAATCTTCTTTTCTTTTTTTTAAACCCCCTTTCTTCGGTTTGATGAGCCAGCCCAAAACAGGAAACCCAGCAGACATAGTTCTGATGTGACTGTCATGTGAATTACCAGAAATATAGGTTATTTTAGGCAATAGAGGAATAAAAATACCAATGGCTATACAGACATGTCTTTGAAACAACTTCTTGTCCATGAGGCATTACTCAGGGCCTTGATACTGCAGAGTTTGATCCAAAATATCTCAAATGTAATGAGGACCATTGTGATTAGTAAGTCATGATCCAGGAGGTACTGAAGTAACAAACAGGTTAATGTAAACACTGCTCAGATTCATATTAAATTTCACAAATGTTTTATTGTTAAAGCTGTAAATAAGAAAGAATCACCAAAGAGTAGAACCCTCAACATACATATTAATGTACAGTATATGAGAAATTGCTAAATAATCTGCAGGCAAAGATTAAACTGAAAAATGTACGACAATTATCAGCCCAGTTTTTAGCATTGACTGTGAACTTTTGGAGGAAACTGAAATCAGATGAGGAAATAGGGGTTGGGGGGAAGACTGACCGGGGCGGTTCGGGGGAAGGACATGGGATTGGGATAGGAAGTCCCAAGGGGTGAGACTAGGACTTGCTGAGGAAGGAGACTGGGACTGAGATAAGAAGCCTGAGTGGATACTAGGACTGCTTAGAAGAAGAAAATGGAACTAGGTCAGGATGACAAGTGTGGGGGAAAAATAGGACAGAGACTGCCTGGAGGGAAGCAGGGATAGTGGAAATGGAATTAAGCTTGAGGGAAAACGGGCAGAATTATCTTTCCTCCAGACCCCCAAATAGAACCCAAGGTACCTGAATTTCACCAGTCCTCTGCTGTCTATGAAACCCTGGTCACAGAATCTCAGGTCAGACTGTAAAAAAACAGGGCAGACACATCCAAACTGGTGGTATATTCCATAATTAGATTTCACCAAACCAGCAACAAATGTGTGCTCCTCGATCACTGTACTAGTTTACCATGGAGCTACAGTCAGTCGCCTTAGACATTCCAGCCTATATTACTACCCAGACAAACTGCACTTAATGATGAAAGGTTATTAAAACCAAAAATTTTCACGCTTTCGGTTACTCCCAGCTACAAAGGGCCAGCCACTTACCCGAGGTCAGGGTATACTTCAGATCTCACCAAAGACAATGCTGAAGCCAATTTCTTTAGTAAATTGAACTAAAGATTGATTAGCTAAGAAATGAAAGATATATTGAGAGGTTAAAGCAGGTAATATACTGTAACAGACCCAGACCAGTGGGGTACAGGAGTCTGGTAGAGGGCAAATATACTGGTCACTGGATGAGTAGTTTTCTGTTCCCTGAGTGACCAGAGAAGGGGCTGCACTAGAGTAATCAGGAACCTGCTAGACCCAGTTAAGCCAAGCAGGCTAATTAGGACACTTGGAGCCAATTAAGAACAAGCTTCTAGAATCAATTAAGGCAGGCTAATCAGGGCACCTGGGTTTTAAAAGGAGCTCACTTCAGTTTGTGGTGCCAGTGTAAGGAGCTGAGAGTGAGAGGGTATGCTGTTGGAGGACTGAGGAGCATAAGTGTTATCAGACACCAGGAGGAAGGTCCTGTGTGAGAATAAGGAAGGTGTTGGGAGAAGGCTATGGGGAAGTAGCCCAGGGAGTTGTAGCTGTCATGCAGCTGTTAGAGGAGGTACTATAGACAGCTGCAGTCTATAGTTCCCTGGGTGGGAACCTGGAGTAGCGGGCGGGCCCGGGTTCCCCCCAAACCTCCCAATTGACTGTGGGCTTTCCCAGAGGGGAAGGTCTCTGGGCTGTTCCCCAACCCACATGGTAAATCTCTGAGGCAAGAAAATCTGCCAATAAGTGCAGGACCCACCAAGATAGAGGAGGAACTTTGTCACAATACATAACAGGTGAGTCAAAGTTTGTGAGTCCAAAATGATAGCAGTGATGTCTGCTAGCTTCCATAAGTCTCTCAGGGTTTCTCAAAATGTCTTTGGTGACCTCTGTCTTGTATCTGGAATGCCCCCTGACAGCATCCAAATAGATCATTCCCAGGGCCCACTTTTAGAGCGGTTTCCCCTGAAAAGCAGCCAAGCAAACGCTTGTACTACCAGCATAGGCTCTCCCTTTGATGAAGAGTGCATTTTGAGTTTTTCACCTCAGGTCACCACATCAAGGACCACTTGTTTTGAAATTAACATTTTACTTCCTATGCATACACAAGTGATCCAGTTAGTGATATACATATGCAGTTGCCTGCCATTACATTCTAGTAGGGATAGATAAGTGAAAACAATACAGATAACATTCATTAGCTTTCAGGAAGTTTACACATCAAGCAAATACTCATCTTACTACTGACACAAACCTCTGATCTAGGATTAATTAAGCATAGGGTATACATATAATGCAAATCAAGTTACAGATATATACACAATAGCACTAATATTTATTTGAACTATTCTAACAGGTGAATGAGCTTGATCCCATTATAATGCCTCTTGACATTCTCTTGATTCCTATCAGCACAAGTGAGTGGGCCTATGTCTACTAGCCCACTTAACATCTCTTTGGTAACCATGCACAAGTGAATTAGTACACCCAATACTTCTTTCAGCTGGCTAACTGTCAGCGCCACAATGGTCTAGCAAAGTGTGTGTATCATTGCCATCTAGTGCTGGTCCACATAGAAGATGACAACCTGCTGCTATCTTTTACTGCATTCGCTCAAGTGGCAGATGACTGTGATGGATCTAAATGTTCCAACTTTGCAGATGACCCATTTGAGTGTCAATCTGATGCCACTCATTGTTCCTTTACACACTTGCTATATCACATTGTGACTATATATCATGCTTAACATTTTCATGCTCTGGTGTCAAATACCTGATCCATTTGGTATATTTCCATGGACTGCATGCTATGGTCAGATTCTACAGAATCTCAGTTTTCATTTAATAACAAAAAGTAAGTTTCTAAGCCTCAGTGTTGTGAAGAAAACCTCCCAGATACGAACAGGCTGGGAACTGATAGTGATTGATTTCCTGTGCTTGACACCAGCCTGAACCAATCTCTGAAAGGTGTGAGCTCCTTTGTCCGATTTGGAGGGAAGCTAACTCTAACTCTTAATGATAACTCTTCTAATGGCAGCACTGCCTCATTCATGAGGGCATGAAGCCCACAGGGTGGAGAGGAATGAGGAATAGCTGCAGGGAAATAAATGATAGAAGGATAGTAACAGTAAAAGGAGGATGAATTAAAAAGAGGAAAGTGGTGGTCTAAAGAGTAGACTATTCTTCCACTGAGTGTTGGTGAATGTGTCAATAAAGTCATGTATAAATACTAATTAAAAGTTGTATTACTACTGAAAGCCATACTCTACTCTTGATCTGCGTACAAACCTGCCATTGGTCTGAGGGTAGGGGATAGTCCTAAATGCATATCACATTCCATTACATTTGGCCCAGAGGGATGAAAATCAAATGCATTAGGGTGAAATTCACCCCCAAACTTGCACAAAGGTTGGGAAAATACATTTTGTGCAGAAAAATATGGAGGGGGCTGGAGTCTCTTTCTAGCACATCAGGTCCACAGCCCCTATTCTAGTTCCTGCTCTGAAAGAGAGGCTGCAACTCCATAAACAGGGCTTTGTGGCCACTGGGTCTATACAACTGCAGACCCAGTTGCTATAGTTTTATCCCCCCTTGGGCTGTCTCCCTGCTCCATTCAGGGCTATATCCAGAAAATTCAGCATTCCCATGTACTCAGTTTGCAGCTGCCCTCACCATGTGTAGTGGAACCATAGCAATTCTACAGCTGCAGGGGTCTTAGACAGCCGCTATGCTGCTGGATACATCTCCCCCACAGGGAGTATGGCAGCAGGTGCCTTCTGGGATACAACTAGATTAGGTCTTAATAAATATTTTAATTCCATATCTGGGTGAGAAGTTTGCATATTAATGGAGAATGTAGCCCATGGGTGGTCAATTATTTTTTGTCGAGGTCCAGATTTCTTGGTCAAGGTATAGTCAAGGTCCAGACTCCAAAGAAACATTTTTCACACCACAATAGTGCTAATAAGCCAATTAAAAGATTTTGCAGTCATTGAGAATGTTATGGCTGATATAGGTTATGGCTACACCACAATTAAAAATCTACAATTAAAAACCTGTGGTACTCCTGCAGCTCAGGCTCAGGGGCGGTTTGATTGCCATGTAGCTGTTCCGGCTTGGGCTGCAGCTGAGCTCTGGGTCCCGCCCCCCTAGCAGGCTGAGCCTGAACATCTACATGGCAATTAAACAGTCCCTTACCCTGAGCTCCAGGAGCTCAAGTCAGCTGGCACAGGCCAGCTGCAGTGTAGACATACTTGTAGAGAAGTTAGAAACGTGGACAGGAAATAAACTGAGGTTTGACTTTGGAAACAATGCAAACTCGTACATCTGGGAGAGGAAGAAGCTGCAAGGCAGGGTAAGCATTAATACCAATAGACCTACAGAGTCTACAAGAATTAGAAACAAGTTTGTGGTAAAATATGCAAAAAAAAACCAAAAACACCATGATTTGGGGCTTTGTATTCAGATTCTTCACATCTCTAACCTAGAAGATAGGCAAGAGCTGCTCTTTCTGGGTCTGATGAGACTGTACCTAGGATAGTGCCTTCCTTTCTGTGCACATCCATACCAGAAAAATGTAGACAAACTGGCACAATTTCAGAGAAGAGCAGCAAATAGGATTTGTGAGCTGAAGGGACTGACTTATACAGAGAGAATAAAAGAGCAAAGTATTTATAACTTGGGCAAGAAACAGCTTGAGAAGGGCATGACAATCACCTGCGGGTACTAGAAAGATGTAAACCAGGCATGTGTACAACACAGCATTCGGATGGTACTTGGATTCAGAGGCAATACCTGATATTTGAGGTAATTACCTAGTTAGAACTAAGTACTGGGAGCCAGGAGTTCTGGGTTCATTTTCCAGCTCTGCTATAGACTTACCCTGTGATATTGGGCAAGTCAACTTATTTATGTTTCCAAGTTGCTCATCTGTAAAATGGTGAGAAGAATACCAACCTGTTCTCTCCTGCTCCCCAACAAGAGTGTGACTACACCCTGCCCACTTCCTCTCCCATCAGACGAAGCA